CCGACATTGCTACTGGGACATGCCAGAACACCAGACGTAAAGTTGCGAAGGTTTACGGGTTGCAGCCTTCACTATCGGGCACCCCTAGGCGAAGCAGGTGAATTGACAGGCGGTCAGGGTCTCAGACTTCCGGGTGTCGATGCACACACTGGGACAGATTCAGGGAGTAGGGACCAGCGACTTCGGTCACTACCTGCATCGTTCCTTTGCCTCGCACGAGTGCAGAAGGACACGCTTGCATGAATCGTGGACACAGAGAGTGTTGAATTGGTGAGGCAGGATATAGGCATATAGGAGGGTGTTGAATTGGTGAAGCAGGATATAGGCATATAGGCACCTTGCTCATTCGCAGTGGAAGCTGCCGCTAAGAACGCCGTGACGTTGCACTCCGGAGCCTGCGCCATGAAGCTGTGCGATACAGCTTTGAAGACAGCTCAAGGCTGACGGTCCCTCCCTGACCCTAAAGCATACCACAAAACAAAAAAGGAGGCCGGACTCAGGCGAAAAGGATGATGCGTACAAGCACAGCAAACCTTCAGATAGGAGTTTCAGAAAGCAAAGGATCCTCGGCAATTGAGAACGTCAGGGCATCTCAGCAAGAGCAAAAGGCCGCTAGATGAGTGTGAGCGACCCTTGAAATGATGCAAAACCACACAACAAACAGTAAGAGAACACTATAAGAGCCCCTTGAAGACGGAACTCAGCCCGGAGATCTTACCTGAGGGTCGACGATCTCGGATTCCCACTCTGCAGGCACGCTGGGCGAGACGTGGAAAGGAAGAGCACCTTCACCTGGCACGGGGTGGAATGCCCATGTCCGACGCCGCCACCTGCTACTGCCACTGCTACCACTACGGCTGCTGCTCAGTTGGTTTCTACTCCTGCTGTTACTCCTACTCCTCCTCCAACTCCTACTCACTACTCATCCCACTTCTACTGCTGCTTCTCCTGCTCAACCTTGGGGTGAGCTACGTCTCTTGGCAAGGGAAGCTCCTGCTCCTCCCCCTACAACTACGCCTACCACTACCACTGACTACCACTACTCTTACTCCTCCTCCTGCTACTGCTACCGCGACCGCTACCGCCACTGCTACAACTCCTGCTCCGACTCCGACACAGCTGCAACTGCGACTGCGGCTGCTATTGCCGCGGCTACGGCTAACTAGATAAAGCAGGTAACACCAGTACCGACAACAACAATAGCAATGGTACCACGCTTGTTGTTACAAGTTGAAAAGTATTGCTGAGCTTGTTGCTGGACGGGTCTCCCTCCTTCAGCTTTTCATCTCAAACAACGGAGTAGCCAAGTGCACAAGCCATGCGGCCCATGCCGCCAAGCGACGCAGTAGCATGACGCCACTGAAGGCATCCAACTCCATGTGTGGCGCCTCACTTCCTTCGCAATGGAGCCTCAAATCTTGCAGATGCGCACAACTCTCGGAGCCAAAAGATTCCGGTGCTACCACCCTATTCTTTTGGGAGAGCCCAGACCAGAATTCTGAAGCACACAATGGGCCTCTCGATCTGCTCTGCTGCTTCGCAAGCGCACTTTGCATTGTACCAGTGTGAGTGAAGGTATCGCTTAATGCAACATCTCCCAAACGGCGGAAGAGAAATGCTAAGGAAGCATGGAGTGCGACTACTCCCGCTGAATACTACAATCTACAACCTGTTCCCCGGAAACCCTAAACCCTAAACCTAGCCATGCGGGGCTCAAGTCTGCAAGCCCTTCGATGTTTGCTTTCGGGCCGTGCAGCGGCATTGTAAAAGCTTCGCCGTGGTCCAGAGCATCCACTGCAACCGCATCGAACCTAAGGCTCGGTGTGGGCTTTCTCGCTTTTTAAGGTTTAGGTTTTGGGCAATAGGGTTTTTTTTATTTGGGGAATAGGCTTCAGGGTTTGGGGCATATAGGGTGTAGGGTTTAGGGTTTGCTGGAAAGTCTGCTGGTTGTTTCTCACAGGATTCGGAATACTGCCAAACACCGCAAAACGCCTATGCTGCTGGTGGCGGGCAGTAGCACACATGCGTGCAGTCGGAGCAAGCAGCTAGAGCCCAGCAACGCAAAAGACATCCGAAGGCTCTGCATCTCTCTCACCCCACTCTACAACCCTGAACAGAAAACTACGAGCCCTGAATCCTTTTGCAGCGGGCTTGCCTCGTCGCCCGGGAGCTCCCTCTGCCCGGAACGTGTGCAAAAGCCGTGGAAAGAACGCACATTATCGCACATCGACAAAACCCTAAAGCCCCAAAACTTTGAACTCTAAATCTTAAAGCCGGAATTCCAAACTCCTAAAGCCCTACAACTTTATTGGCCCCAACTCCCCATATCTCTTCCTAGCAGCGCAGTGAGGCCAGAATTCGTCTTGAACTCCACCTCGGACAGGCAGGTGGGCGAATACAGGAATGAGGCGGGCAAGGTTTCGGTTCGGGTGTAGAATGTTGGGTTTAGGGAGAGCCGAAGTAAGAATGAGTCTTTCATGTTTGAGGCGAAGGCTCAGCTGCGACACCCTTACGTCGAAAACTGGAACAACCAATCTTTGATGCCCCTGGCCATTCATGGGGCCAAACCCAGACAGTCTAACGATCTTCGAGCTGCTGTGCCGGCGTAGGTGCCCGTGCTGCTTGGGCGACATGTGATCACGACGTCCGCGGACTGGTGTGGCTCCACAGACACCTGCATCACCGTGAGGCGGTGACTCCAACGGACTGACAGGAGGCGCCAACAGATGAATAGAAATGGCTCTCATGTTTGACACAGCATGAATCCACACCCGGCACTTATACGGCGGCTGCACGGGCATGTCTCGAATTACGTTGACGTAGATGGAAATCCTGATGCATCCCAGGCAGAAAAGCACCCTCTCGGCCTCCATACTCGGTCCTGCGAAGGGGACGGCCAGTGGCAAGACTTGCGCTCGGGCAGTACCGTTTCCGAAGTTCCAGATCCGCACCTCCGGCTTGGGCGTCATCTTCGTGGGGTATGGTAAACTGCCGCTCTTGCGTCCAGGCTTTCTAGTGCGAGGAGGAGACGAATTGGGCCTTGCAGCGGGGCCCTGAACCATAAATCCCGGCACCTTTCTTTCGGTTGATCCCGGCATCTCTCCTCTTTCTTCCCTGAATGCGCTAAGACTGATAAAGGCATTCCAAGGCACAGTGCGTCGACCCTCTCCTCCGACCGGGACCGTCCCGAATTCAAGCGCGCCGGCAAAGATCGTGGAAGGCAGGAAAGGCGTGCCAAGTATCTCCTTTGATTGCAGGGCCAGCAACACCCCAAGTGGCGCGGCGCTATCATGACCAGCATTATACTCATAGCCAGAGTAACAAGAAGAATCCCGGCTGTTGGGCCAGACAAGGCACATACTGCACTGGCACCTTCTCGTCACAATCCTTCTTGCCCTCTCCCCAGTCGATGTTGATCTGGGCCTGACTGGGACAGCTCTAGATCCGCAGCCTCCGAAACTCGCTGCACCGCCCCTTCTCCGTCTCTATCCCCAACTTGGGCTCGGAATTCGATGAAAATGTATCTCAACCCTAAACCATAAGCCCCAAAAACCAACGGCCCCAGTGAAAACCGAGCCTGGTAGACGCCAACCCCGAGGAACTCATGGCCGATTTCCACCTCGGTTATTGCATATGAGCCCATTGAGAACTGAAAGCTAGGATAAGGGGGTTGGGGAGTTCAGAATGGTATAATTACTGTACGTAAATTTAGGGAATGGTGTTACTCATCATTCAGGCTTCTTATGTGGAAACCCTTGATCAAGACCACTCTGCATCAGGAAAGCTCAGGCAATCCCAGGAGCTCAAGACAGCAAAGAAAATGCTTCGACTCCGCGGCGTAAACAGGAAAATCGATTCCCAGAGATACGGTTGATGATATAAATCCTGCATTACCCATAATCAGGAATATACCATAATTCCCATAGTTTAGGGTCCCTAAGGTAATGCAGGATTTGCATCATGAGCAGTAGGGGTGATAAAGAGACCGGGCCACCCCCAAAGACACGGCGCCGTTGGCCGGCACCGAGATGCGAGCCAGTGTGCCCGTCGGATCTCTCCAGCCACCAGAAGGCTCCTCAAAGAGGTTTTGGTTTTGCTCTTCCGATGCTTCTCGATGTTTAAAGTGTCAGGGCCTTTTTCGGCTGTCGGGTTGGTGTAGGGCCAGTGCAGGGCTTCGAGTATGGCAGTATAAGGTTCAGAATCACAGTGATCTTAAGCCAAACCCGAGCCCCCAAAGCGGTAGGCCCCGGTCCCTAAAACCCCTTACAAAAAGCCTTACATATGCCAGAAGCCCCAAAACTATCCACCCACGTCAACACAACTACACCTACTAAGCCCGCGCCCAATGAAAGACGCAAACTCCCATCTCCTGGAAACGAATCCAGTTCCTGGACTCTGCCTTCGAGACCATAGCCTTGGATCATCGTGCAGGCCTTTTGTATATACCTATAAACGAATAAGTCAACGTGTATATATGTATATATATACCTATTTATCTATTTATACACACACACAGAAAATCCAAGGTCCAATATTCATTACCTAATACCCAATACCTACGACCTAATATCAGATTTCTAAACGAAAACCAATAACATATACCATGCTTTATAGTGTGTGCGTGTATGTATGTATGTATGTATGTATGTATGTATGTATGTATGTACACATGTGTATGTATAAATGTCGGGTCGGTGCTCGTTTTGAAACAACAAAGTACCAAGAACATGTCAAGAGAGAGCACGATAATGGACTTGACATTCTGTAAACAACTTCTGCTCAGAATCTGTTCTTAAGACACTATGATATGCACTTCGTACACTGTATCGACAAAACTACACACTTCAACAGACTATACTATATTCAGTGTATATATATATATTCATAATTCACTACTGGAGCTGAGTAAAATTCAAGCACCGCCCAGTGGCCCCCACGTCCAGGAGCCCAGCAGAAACGAAGCCGTCGAGCCAGGGCGCCCGCTCCTCGGATGGATTATTGTGTTACTATTACTATTATTTTTATTATTATTATTATTAGTATCATTATTAGTAATTATTACTACGATTATTACTATTATTCTTTCTACTGTTATCGGTATTATTAGATTCTGTGCTTCACAGCTTTCTTTCCCCTCTCGCATGGCTGAGGAACTATGCCCACTCTAAGTCTCTGGGTTCGGGCTGGGTGAAGCTTGGGGCTTAGGGTTCTAGGTTAGGGGGTTGCCTGGGGTCTAGGGTTGAGGTGTTTGGGCTAGAGTTTTTGTTATGGCGTCTTGCTCTTTGGTGGTTGGGCATGTTTGGGATGGCTAGGTTTTCATGTTTACTGTAGGGCCTAAGATGGAGTGCTCCAGCAGCCGGTGGTCATGCGACCCATCGAATGCCCAAGCATCTCCCTATCGCAACTCCCGAACCACTGATGCTTTCGCTTCCCTCGTCCTTTCTCCCGGCATTGTTTTAAAAAGTGGAAGGAAGCCCGACAGTGCGAACAGGAGGATTCTCATGCCCTTGAAGTAGAGTATAGAGCACAGGCACAGGGAATCCCAGCACCAGTCTTCCTCATCTCATGATTCAGCTTCCCGGGCCTTACTATTACCACCCCGATGCTTTAGTAAGAAAAGGCTCGGCAGACTCCACCACGATAGACTGCAGGTCGTCCTTGGCTTCGTTCCGTGCTTCGTTCAGAAGGCTTTGGGGATGTGTTCGGTTTGGCGCATCTGGGCGTCTCTAGGGCTTTGGCACCGTCTAGGGCCTCCGGGACTTTTGGGGCTTTGGGTTTCCGGGTTTGGCAAGCTTGCGGCTCAGAGGGTGGGTGTGTAGACTTTCGGGTGTTGCAGTGCAAAACCCCTAGACCTTTGGGGGTTAAGAATTGAGAGCCCTTAATATAATCTGAAACCCATTCGGGTTGTTTTAAGGCTTCGGGGCTTCGGCTTTTTAATCCACAGCTTGCACAGAGATCTGCTGGTGCAATCCGAGGCTCCAAATCACTCACAAAGCTTCGGCCCATCCAACTCCAGACGAGAGCGGTGGCTCCCGCAACGAGGGGGGTAGCCATGGACGTGCCGCTGAGGGCCATGTAGCTTCGAGGCCCCAGGTGTGTGCTGTAGATGTCGGTGCCTTCTCGGCTGCAAATCACCCCCAAGCCCGAACCCCTATAAATCTTTCCGGTGGTTCGGCTCTCTGAGCTTCGCGAAACGGGTCAGGTTTAACGCGGCCTGAGGATTAGGGCTTGGTAGAACTCACTTTTTCAAGGCTACGAAGTTATGGCAGAGTGGGGGCTCAGGGTCTGGAGCATCTAAACATGCCTTACACCTTCAACTTAAGGTACTCAGAACCTTCCGTCCCTCTATCACTTTCGTTAAACCCAGTCCTGGAGCTGCGATCTGCACCGAGTCAACGCCATAATTGCTGTAGTCGGCCAGTTGGTCCGTGGGTGCTGTCGCTGCCACGCACAAGGCAGGCTCGTAGTTGCAGGGGTACGTCGGGATCAAGTCATTGCCTGAGCATCCCCCGAGGGCCAGAAACACCCAGAACCCGCAGAGGATATGGGTAGTTCTCTACACTAGGGTCCCTTGTTAGGTCCCCAATATAGTATGGCACCCTTATAAAAAGAACCCTAAAACGGGACCCTAATTGAGAGAACTTCCCATATGACAGATGCTGACTGATTGAAGTTGATGGAGCATAAATGAGCATAAGCTTAAGGCAAAGGCATCCGTGCCGAGCAGCTTCTACCCAGATTGCCTGCTGCTGCCACGAACAGGTGGCCCGCTTCCTGCAATCCATGCATGCGCCTATCTGGAAGCTCTGAGAGCTGTGATGTGATGATTCTCTGCTGATGTCAGCTGTGTCTAGCCATGATCAATCTGATGCCCCAAATTTACGATAAACCCTAAACCCTAAACCCCTAAACCCTAAACCCCGAAACCCCCTAAATTCCCCTAAATACCCCTAAATACCCCTAAACCCTAAATCCTTAAACCCCTAAACCCCCAGCCATCCCAAAACAGCCTTCGCGCTCTGAACAGCTGCCTCTAGCGCCAGGCTGTGGGAAGGCCCACCTTCCGGTGGCAAAAACTCGTGCCACGTGCGGGTCGCGGTAACACAGGGCCCCGAATAATTGGGGTTTAGGGTTTAGGGTATAGGGTGGAGTATAGACGGTTTAGGGTTTCAGCACTCACACTCGGACAAGCCTGGGCGAGGGTTCCTGGTACGGTTTAGGGTTTAGGGTATTGGGTTTGGGGGGATGTAAAAATATTAGAAATGTTATACTACACTTTGCAATAAGGATGTGACATCTCCAAAGGCCAAAAACCCCCCCCCCCCAGTCCCGGCCCCAGCTGTTCGAGGAGACGATGGCCCCCATGGAGATGGCGTAGTTCCTTGCAGCTTTTGGACTTTGAAGTAACCAGGGAGAAAGAAGTATAGACTTCTATTTTATAATGGTTCCTTTAAGGAACAGGTCCCCAAAAAAAAAAATTCAAGTATGGTACTCCAGAACCCAGGCTTTGTCGGCTCTTGGAGCTCTCGGGTTCGGAGGTGAACTTACGGCTCGGAGGCGGCTATTTAGGGTTTTAAGGGGTTTTTGCCCTACTGAGCTATGGAAGCTGTTAAGGGGTTTAGGGTTTAGGGGTTTCGGGGTTTAGGGTTTAGAGTATGACAACAGAAGCGTTCACTGTTGAATCGGAGATCCCTGATGCGCACGCGCTTTCGTATCGGTGGCGTATTCTGCGATTTCGGACTCCCTTCGGAGTCCAGATCTGAATATCTCGAATGTATGATCGTATTTCATACAGAAATATTCATTGCGAGATCTAGAGCACCGAGCGTTTCCGGTCGGTGCTCACAGAATGAAAGCAGAGGAAAGCGGAACTAACTGAAGTGGGTTAGGGAGTGCGGGAGAAGAAAAGCTCGAGCTCGATACTTATAACACCCCAAACCCCTACATCCTAAACCCCCAAACCCAACCACAATAGCCAGGGAATATATCCAAGTTCGGGGTGATCGACTCATGAAGATTCTCGGCATCGATCGGTGAATGACGAAAGCAATGAGCTGTCACTTCGCACGCAAGTCTGCTACACAAAAAGGCTGCAATAACTATTGGAACAGGGTTTCGGGGTACATTCATCAGCGCAGATGATGGAGCCCGACGGGAGAACAGTGATTTTGGCATTTTTGTCAAGCTTCTTACTTGTTTCCGTTCGGGTTCTGGGACTCGTTTCGGTTTCGGTGGGAAGTAGGGGCCGGGGCGCGGAATCTATGCCGCCTGAACGCAACACAACACAGCGGTCGATCACCCAAATTTGCACTCAAAAACCAGTCGGATCCTTGATGTAAGGAACCCCACTACAACACACCATTACTTCTGAATTCCGAGATCCTTCGCATTAAACTGCCTGAACCTTAACCCTTCTTTCTCACTGTGAAAACTTGCACGCAAAGCCGGGGCACAGCGCCAGCACGGCGTCGCTGGTACGGCCCCCATCCCGGCTGAGGAACCTAGTGGTTCTGACGGTGGGGCGGTTCAGGGTTTCAGCGCTCACACTCGGACTATGCAGACGCGGCACATGTCTTGAGGTCGGTTGGTGGAAGAAATCAAAGAGACTTGCATGTGCACAACCACCCCCGCAGGTGCCGGAGGCATGTTCAGGCTTCAGGGTTCTTTGACACTCGCACCCGGACAAAGCCAGGAAAGGTTTTCGAGCGTTGAACAGCTGTCGGGCTCGGGGGGTTGTTGCATCGTATCTGCTGTCAGGTCAAGCTCCCAAGGTCACAGAGCTTAGAGCTCAAGGGATTCATATTTCTGCCCAGGCACCGCAGGGCCATGATCCGTATCGCAGGATTGCCACCAGCAGCCCCCACCACTCCCACAGAATTCCGGACCGCAGCAATGACCCCTATGAGGGAAAAGCAAGGCTCATGAGCAAAAGCTAACAATTGACAAAGTGGAGTCCTGCTAGTCAGCTGTCACATGCTTCTGTCCGCATACACAGCTCTCTCCATGTACTTTTCATCCAAAAGGATGCTCAAGGTCCCCTTTTGCACCCATGGATCCTGCGCAGTGCGTCCCGTGGCCGTCGTCATCTGACGGGTCGCCGTCCTCATCTGCAAAGTCAAAGCCGTGCACGTCGTCCACAAAGCCGTTGCCATCGTCGTCCACACCGTTGTTGGGGATTTCGCCCTCGTTCTGCCAGAGGCGACCCTGCAGGTCCTGGTGATCAATGTCTATCTATCTCTCCGTGTGTATATGTGCACCTGCTTGTGTGTGTGTGTCTATGCAGGAGTATATACATCTATACATCCGTCTATATATATATATACACAAAACAAAACAAAATATTATATATTATTATATTATATTGTATTGTAATTACTTATATTATGTTATTATATAGTATTCTATTCTATCTTACATTGTATTGTATTATATTTTATTATATTATACTATATTGTGCTATATTATTTTATAGTATAGTATAGTATATTATATTATATCATACTATACTGTACAATATGATATCATATTATATTATAGTAGATTATATTATATAATATACATTATACATTACACGTTATATATATAATATATTATGTATAATAACAATAATAACAAATATAAATATATATATATATACACACATTCATACACATGTACATATACACATGGCTGTGTACATATATATATATATACAAGCACACATAAACATGCATGTATGTGCACGCAACCCCACACACACACACACACATGTCGGTGCCGGCATGTTCACACGCACCATTGCAGAACAATCAAGACCAAGAACCAAGAACCACCCTTGTAAGAGCGAAAGGCGACCGCGAGGAGACCAACACCGACCTCTTGTTCTCCGGCAGGCACACTGATATCGGGGGTGAGCAGGCGGAAGTGTTGAAGCAGTGAAACTCTAGCGGCTGCAGCCGTTGAAGCTGCAGACGTATTCTAATACTGACAAAGGAAGTTCCCGAACACAGTCGCAGCCGGGAGTCTCACAGACCCCGGAAAACCCCCCAAATGTTTTTGGAGCTCAACTGATCCTCGTGGTCCAGCTGGATCCCTGTATCCAGCACGGCGATGGTGACCGGCGCTGGTTCCACTTGCCTTTGCATCTCATGCGACGCTTCTAGCTAACCCTTGGGAACAGGCAGACTTCTGGCAGCAGGCTTTTGAAGATGCCACCTGGAAGGAACGAGAAGCCTGCCAGGTTCCTGGTATATCCATATCTATGTATGTAAAAGTATATATATATATCTCTATATCTATATCTATATCTATATCTATGTACATATACATAAGTAATAAACAAGGCTGCGCCGACACGGAGAAAACAACTGTTGCACGATCTTAGGGCCAAACTGGCAAACCAAAACAAAAAAACTACACCTCAGCCACATCGCAGCCCAGCGAATCCTTGAATTACTCTGCGCATAATATATATATATATGTGTGTGTGTGTGTGTATATATATATAATATTTGTCAAAGACATGTGTATGTATATGTTTGTATGTGTGTGTATGTATATATATATATATGGTGCCCGCCACCCCCCCCCCCCTACCTACCCTCTTCCTGTGTTTCCTGATCAAGTCTCTCCCACACAGTCCCAAGGAAGCGAGATCGTGCTCTCCCACACACCGTCTCAGAACCCGGAGCCCAAAGCTTTGGAATCTTCGCATACATTGGGACCTCTCAGCACTTTCGCACGCCGGGATGCTCAAAACCATGAGAAGTCCCAATGTTTTGACGGTTTAGGAGCCGAAAGAACTATGCAAGGATCCAGAAAAACAAGTAAAACCAATGTTGTGGGGTCTCTGGGCCCGCCCTCCCCAGACACTCTGAAACATTAGTTTCTCTGAAACATTAGGTTAATGGTTTTATTGGGACCTTCCATGGTTTTGTGCTCCGAAACCCTCAAAACATTGGGACCTTTTTCGTATTCCAGGTCAAAACCATGAGAGGTCCCAATGTTTTGGCCCCCACATCCCCAAACCACCGGGACGTCTCCACACTTTCGCGCTCCAAGAAGTCGAAAACGATGAGAGTGTTCAATGTTTTGGGTCCCAGTACCACCAAAACATTGAGACACGCCGCAAATCTGCGCCTCTGCTCTCCCATATAATAGCTAAGGGATGTTCAGTGAATTCTGCGACGACGACCAACTATTGCTTTACCAATATAAACAGAAAGTTTCAGATTGGCACTGGTTTAACATTTCATGTTCACCTAAACCTTAAGCAATAGCTTTTGCTATATGGCGCTGCGTTTGTCCTGGTACTAAGATATTGTCATTGTTCAATTGTACTCTGTACTCGAGCACCAATATGCTGAAATAGCTTATCTGCACATAGAGTCACTAGGCAGTCATATGCAACATATACTTAACCCTGATGTTTTTGTAATTTGAGTGTCGCATATCATTTGCACATAGCACTTGTTCAAATACCTTATAAATACTACTCCAACCCTACTTATTGAGCACTAGGCCTCTGTTTGGTGGAATACTCGCTTGGTATTTGAGTAGTGATGCCTGCATGTTCGCAGGTATGTCGCTCATTGAAACTCCAATATTGAATGGGTCTTATTTAGCGCATAGTATTAACGTCGTATTCCGGCGGTGCAACACTTTTATAGGTTTGTACAATAGTTAAAAACTCATTACTATCTTGATGCCCTCTTGATGTTATGTGCCGAGTTTTTCTGCCTATAGTATGTAAGTATCGTATTAACTAAAAGAAACCTGTACGTACTCATTCCATACTCATCGAAGATGTGATGTTCAAACACAACTTAAGCAATATTCCACTACTATATGCTTCATTTCCTTGAGATCTCGCCCAACACCTATTTCAGAGTCCAAATATTTCGGAAATATGTACACACCGAAGCTTTCGTAATGTCCCAGCTATGCATACGGCATTCCATGGCTTAGTCCCTAGTGAATACTTTTCGCGCATTCACATGTGTTTTTGGTATCTCTTCTCAATGAAAGAAGTGGTAATCACTGAAGAAACAGCTACAGTAGCACTTTATTGTTACGGCGTGGTTGGCTTTTCTGTCTCTTTGGTACTACTGCACCGATTAGCTGTTCCAGTTTTAGTGACTGTAACATTTCATGAATAATATCTGAATGCTGCATGCTGCGTGGCTTGAGCAGGAGGGCAGAACAACATGAACCATTCAACAACAAATATTAACCTGATATCAACCGGGCATTAGTTCTAACAGAAGCGATAGCACATTCATGGCCAACACTGTTTGACTGTGAAGCTGCAGGGAATGGGTCGGACTTGATATGTTGCGAGCAGTACAAGGAAACATGCAAAACGGCTGTCGCCTGCACCTATGCAGATGAACTTCTGCAGACACACGCCGGTGGCATACACACACCAAACAGGTAGGTGCGTCGCGGGGGGGGGGGCTATACAGTGCCTGTCCAAACCCTCCTCTATGTCCGATGGAACATCTGGCAATTCCAGCACCGCTACGTTTCCACCAGATTTGCACTGGGTAAAGATCTCAGATCCGTGCAGTGAATTCTTGCTGTTGCCTAACCTGCGATGACCTTGTATTGTTGTAGTTCGTAGGGTCCACATATAAAGAGATGAACACTTTAGAATCTTGCAACGAACCCTACCACAACAATGGATGATGGTTGACAGGGGCTCTTACACCCCAGATTCAAAGCTCAATCGAGCTCTCTTCTAAACCCTGAACCGATATCTCCGGGGTACAGCGACTCAAGGCGGCTCCATGCCGAATCGAAGCCGCTCCGGCGGAAGCCCCACTGCCTGGACCAGTGCGGGTCCGCGATCCTGAGTTCTCTTGCTGATCTTGGTTAACGGATATCACGTATCATGAGAGAGACTACTCCTACTGCAACCACCACCACCACCACCACCGACGGCCGACGGCTCCGTGAGGGTGCTGCTGCTGCTGCCACTGAAACCAAAGAGTACGACTTGGAACCCGCCGTTGTTACACCCACAGAGACTCCCATCTCGCGCTACGTTGACACGATAATTATACCCTGCAGCACTACATGACGTGGTATATGCCCTAAAGCCCGAAGCAAGAAAACCCTTGGAGACCTCGATCACGCAAAACCCTGCTTTGTAAGAGCAGCGGTTCTGGTCCGATAGTCTTCACTTTTGCTCCGTATGCGTGTGCATGTACAATATATGTACACGCACATATTTACATAATATTATATATATACATACATATGTATGCATTCATATATACGTATGAATGCATGTATGTATGTATGTATGTATGTATGTACGCATGTATGTCTTAAACATGTACACTTACACATGCACATACATACACGAACATACATAGACACATAAACATACATGCACACACACACACGCACGTGCACATACATATGTATATAGCATTAACAACCAAATGTACATAAGCCTACACATACACACACACATCCAACAAATGCAGAAACATGTTTTATATGTGTATACATGTATGTATGGGCCGTTCTCTAAACTAATCACAAGTTTATAAGTCTGCCGTACTACATAGGGGACCTAAAAAGGGACCCGAGTTTAGAACACTATCCGCATGTATATACATATACATATACATGTATATATATATACACACACACACATATACATGTGCATGTATAAGTATAGACAGTCTGTGGCTTTAGGCTTGCTGTGGGAGCTCGAAAAGCCGCCAAGGAGCTGCGGGCTCTGCATCTTGAAGAGGTTGCGCTGATCGAGCTCCACAAACTCAAGATCCCCCGCGTGCTCGCCTATGGATGGGTAAGTGCTCACCGTCTTCTAGTCTATACGCTATAACTGCTACGGTTATAGTGTAGTAGGTTTTAGGCTTCTGTTAGCAAGTGCAATGAACCCTCTCTCCATCCAGAATCCACCCACCTGCGAAGCACACTTGACTTCCGGGGGGTGTAGGGTTTCGACTCTCACATGTAGGGTTTAGGGTCTAGGAGAGCAGGCTGACCCGGCGACTACTTGACACGCGCACAGAATCCACTGCAGAGGAGAGGTTTTCAAACATGGGCTAGACTCTGCTACGCCACGCACAACGAAACCGGAACCCTGAGGCCAAGTCACTCTCAAGCTGCTTTGCTACATCTGCAGCATCTTTCGTGCAGTCCAACTGCACCATGCTGATTCCCAGGTGGCTCAGATACAGCCATGTGCTGTTCTGAAG